TCCCAAATCCTACTCTCCATTTCACGTCTTCACAGTCACAGGTGAGCATGCCTTCTGCAGGTGGGCACACTTTCTGTAGGTGACCACGCCTTCTGCAGGTGACCACGCCTTCTGCAGGTGAGCACGCCTTCTGCAGGTAAGCACGCCTTTTCTGTGTTGTGCGGGGATCCATCAAGCCTCAGCACCTCGGCCAGTTCACTTTTGTCGATGGATTTGTCATTTAAGACCTAGTCAACCACACTGGGAGGGTCCAAAAGACGTGCTTTTTCCAGTCCTGTCAGAAATAAATCTGTGAGAGGAACCCCCACATCCTTAAGAAGCTCTGTGAGACCAGGCATGGTGGCTCACGCCTGTAATCCCAACACTTTGGGAGGAGGCCAAGGTAGGCAGATGTCTTGAGTCCAGGATTTGAGACCAGCCTGGGCAACATGGCAAAACCCATGTCTACAAAAAAAATACAAAAATTCTGGGTATGGTGGCACACACACTTGTAGTCCTAGCTACTCAGGAGGCTGAGATGGGAGGATCACTTGTGCCTGGGAGGTTGAGGCTGCAGTGAGCCGTGATAGTGCCACTGCAACCCCGCCTGGGTGACAGAGCAAGACCCTGTCTTAAAAACAAAAACAAAAAAAAGCAGCAGTACTGTGATTTCTCTGTAGGCCAGAACTTAACAGTGGGAACCGCAGTCACTGAATTAGGGAACCTAAATCCAATGGGAGTAATTGGATTTCAGGATGGCAGGGCTAAGCGGTAGCATGCAACTGCCAAGGACAAGCTGGGCATGGTTGCTGCTGCTGAAAGAAAAGAGACCCCAAACTCACTACACTGGAGGGAAGTTAAGTTTGGGAACTGAGTCATGCAAGAAACTGCCTTTTTTGTTCCCAAATAGATAGCTGTAATTTCGCATGCTTACTTTATCTTATGTAGAATGGAGTTACTGAACACCAGAAAATGCATCACTGACTTTTCCCCTACTCCCTCTTTCCACATAAAAAAATGTATCAATTCACTGAGCGCTAATCAGAGCCTCACAAAAATGTAACCACTTGGCTTCATTGCCTACTCTCTCCTCCTTTTATATTTCCCTTCCTCTCCTTGAGGAAGAGGAGAGGAAGCTCTTTCCCCTTTAAATATCAAAGGGGATAATGCTGTTTCCGCTTTAAGTATCAAAGTTCCTAAAATCCTCTTTGGAACAAGCACAGGTCTCAGATCCTACTGTGACTTGTGTTTCTTTTTCCCAGTCACATCCTTGACCTTGGCAAAATAAACCTCTAATCAATTGCCAAAAAAATAAAAATAAAAAAAATAAAAAGGCAGGGGGGGAGCACTGATCTTTGTTTCTCGGTGTCTTCCTCTGGAGAGCTCTACAGCGTTGGCACAGCCCTGATCTCTGTGTTACCTCTTGTTTGCACCTGGGAGCTGAGGCAGGTAGAGGGAAAGGGAGACTTTGGGTGTAGGGAGCCAGAGGAGGTTCTCATGACATGTCCATATCTGCTTTAGAGTTCTGTTTCTCTCGGAGCTGGCCCCTTAAGGAAGATGTGATGCTAAAGTGTGCCCAGGTTGATAAAGAAACTAGGAATTGCATTCCCCAGGATCCCGTGAAGGGGCCACATGGGGGTTTCAGCATCGAAGAGGCTTGGAGGGAAGATAATACATCTTCAAATACCCGAGAAGCTGACATGGGCAGGGGATGAAGCCAATCCGTTTCCACAGACGGATAATGTGGCTCATTATAAGTTGGGCATTTCTGAGAATTTCTTTTCCAGAGACAGGGTCTTGTTCTGTTACCCAGGCTGGAGTGCAGTGGTGCGATCACAGTTCACTGCAGCCTAGACCTCCTGGGCTCTAGCGATCCTCCCACCTCAGCCTCCCAAGTAGCTGGGACTACAGGTGTATGCTACCATGCCCAGCTAATTTTTTTGTATTTTTTTTTTTTTTGTAGAGACAGAGTCTTGCTCTACTGTCCAGGCTGGTCTCAACCTGGGAACTGCATTGAAATGTAATGGCCTCCATGTGAGATGTGAGCCACCCGCACACAGGAAGTATTTAAACAGGGGCAGGATGGTGATTCTCGCCTTGGGCAGAAGCCTGGGCTGGTGATGTCTCTGGCCCCTTCCTACTTGGAAATGCCATGAATGTGGAAATGGAACTTGGAGTTTCCTTTAGTCTTCCATGTCCTTTGAGGACATGATGTTCAGATTCACAAAGCTGCATATTGCTTTCAGCTATAGGAGTTTGTACCAAAGTAGAAAAACTCAAACCTTCCAGAGCAGGTGCTCCAGAGGTTGGCTTCCCGCTCAAATAGGTAGTTACTAAAGCTGAGTCAAGCCTGAGCCAGCGTCTGATGCTAGTCACACCCAGGAATGCAGGGGGCTATGAAGAGCACACTTCTTGGAAAATGGAACAGACTCCAGCTATCAGCTTTGATCTGAACCCAGGACAGGATGGGCCAGAAGCCGGTTCCTCTGCCCCTTGAGACCTGGGCTTACTGCATCCAGGTGTGGCCTCCTCTAATTTCAGAATCATTTGAAGACTTCTTAGCTCTTTGTTGGTCTGGCAAAGCAGGCTTGTTATTGTTAGCACATCTCGGGTCACACCTTCCCATCAATTTCATTTACTACTGTGGGTTTGGCAGGTGGAGATGAAAGTGGGAGGAGTTTTTCACAGATCCTAACAATGAAAAAATTAAGAAGAGTAGGTCGAGTAGGTCGGTAGATTGAAAACAATCACAACTCATGTAAGTTATATAGTCATTTCAAAATCAGAAGCTTATGCCTGGCCAGGCATGGTGGTTCACATCTGTAATCCTAGCACTTTGGGAGGCCAAGACAGGGGGATCACTTGAGGTCGGGAGTTCGAGACCAGCCTGGCCAACATGGCGAAACCTGGTCTCTACTAAAAATACAAAAATTAGTCCAGTGTGGTGGCGCACACCTGTAATTCCAACTACTCGGGAGGCTGAGGCAGGAGAATTGCTTGAACCTGGGACGTAGAGGTGTGGAGGTTGCAGTGAGCGGAGATTGTTCCACTGCACTCCAGTGTGGGTGACAGAGTGAGACTCTGTCTAAAAAAAAAAAAAAAAAAAAAAAAAAAGAAGCTTATGCCAAAAGCCAGAGAATGTTAGAAAAGTAACAACCATATCAACAAAAGTTAATCAAAATGCTTTGAGTGAATTGTCTGGTAAGGCTATTATGATATTTGGATCCTGGTGGGTCAAATCTTTCTGATTTTCCTAAAAGTAATTGACCGAATAAATCTTTGAATGACTGAGGATGCGATGCTTTATTGTTATTTATAAAAACATGAAGTCCTGATCCTCATATGTGTGCAAATGGTGATCACTCTCCCATGGCTTCCCTTCTTTGCTTCCACAGTCTCTGGCTCACTCATGTTGCCTAGAATCTTAAGGATGCCTAGAATCTAAGGATACTTATAGTAATAATATGCTATAATATTATTAACCAAACTACACTTTCCAGATTTCACCAATTTTCTCACTAATGTCCTTTTTCTGTTCAAGGATCCAGTCCAGGATTGTACCCAGGATTGCATTTAGTGAATGTTATCTACATGATATAGAGGTGGTAAATGGTGCAAAACAAGAAAAAGAAACATCACTTCTCAATGCTTATTAGTGCAAAACCATATAATCTATTCTGTACTTTTCAATGGGGAGAAGTTATGTAGGTGAATCCTACAGGCTGGGATAGATAGAGCAGGGTGATGTGAGAGACTAGGGGTGCAGGGCAGTCCTCTCTGAGGAAGGGAGTGTTGAGCGGAGATCTGATTGTAAGAGCCAGGTTTGAAACAATCTAGGGGCAGAGCATTCCAGGTGGAGAGAATTGTAAAGTGGTATAGTAGGTCCTGCCAAATGAGTTATTCAAGATGTGAATACTCATTTATTGGAATAGGCAATCATTCATTCACCAAATATTTAAAGAGCACCCACTAGTGCCAGGAACTGTTGAAGGTGCTTGGATGACGTTAGGCTAGAATGTTTCTTGCCGGGGAAGCCAGGCCAGGGAAGTGTGTGAGGAGGGATAGGCTGATGTTAAGCTAGGATGTAGAGCTGGGAGGGATGCTTAGTGAGACTTCTGAGTCCAACCAAAGTTAGGCAGGCCTGCAGAGCCATCTGAGTTCCACTGGGGATGGGCAGGAGTCAGGGGTGGATGCCTGAGTCTTGATTCTCAGATGAGCCAAGAAGCCTAGGCTGGAGCTTGAGGAGATCTGGAACCTGGAGTAGGAGGTGCTTAGTTTCACGTTGAGATTGGTGCAGAAGGCTCAGACCTCACCCCTTCACAGCTAGACTTGAAAAGATTTGGGGCAGAACATTTCAGGTGGATTCCAGGTGGAGGGAACTGTAAGTGCCAAGGCCAGGAGGTGAGACCAAATTTGATATGTCGGAATGATTTCCAGACACCAGAACCCTGTAGGCCAGGTCAGGAGTTTGGATTTTATTCCATGTGTAATGGGAAGCCACTGGAGAATTTTATATATGGGACTGACATGATTTTATTTTTTAAAATTAACTTATTTTCTTGAGACAGTCTCACTCTGTTGCCCAGGATGGAGTGCAATGGTGTGATCATGGCTCACTGCAGCCTTGACCCCCTGGGCCCAAGCCATACTCCCACTTCAGCCTCACAAGTAGCTGGGGCTACAGGTGAGCACCACCCCACCCAGCTAATTGTTTTGTATTTTTTGTAGAGATAGGGTTTTACCTTGTTTTCCAGGCTGGTCTCGAACTCCTGGGTTCAAGCCATCCGTCCACCTTGGCCTCCTAAAGTGCTGGGATTACAGGTGTAAGCCACCACGCTTGGCCATTTTTGTATTTAAAAATATTTGAAATCACTTTTCTTGAGGCATAATTTACAAATAACAAAATACAGTTACTTTGAATGTATAGTTTGGTGAGTTTTGACAAATATATCCAGCTACGTACGTAACCACCACCACAATCAAAATACAGATAGAGCCTTCTTATTACCCTAAAAAGTTCTCTTTACAATCGATTCTCCTATTACTACCCCAATCTCCAGCCTTAGGCAAGAGATCCTGCAGTTCCTTTGCCCAACTTCCTGGAGTTACCATCTTGCATAACCATGTACGTTTGTCAAAACCGAGAAATTAACATTGCTATAGTATCACGAACCAAACTGTCAGCTCTAATCAGATTTCACTAATTTTCTCATTAATGTCCTTTTTTCTGCTCCAGGATCCATTCCAGGAGTGCACCCAGGATTGTATTTAGTAATCATGTCTCCTTAATCTCTTCCGATCAGTGAGTTTCTCAGACTTTCTTCATTTTTCACGAACGTGGCGGTTTTGGGGCAAACTGGTCAGGTGTTTTGTAGAATGTCCTTTGATTTGGGTTTAGCTGATGTTTTCTTATGATTAGAGTTTACAGATTTGGGGAAGAAAACCACAGAGATGACGTGCCCTTCTCATCCCAACATATCAGGGAGTATTTGATACCAAATTCTATCGCTGGTGATGTTAACCTTGGTCACTTGGTTAAAATGGTGTCTGCCAGGTTCCCTCCTGTGAAGTCACTATTTTTCCCTTTCCATAATCTACTTTTTGGAATCAAGTCGTGAAGTCCAGCCCATCTATAAATGGGAGGAGAGTTAAGCTTCATCTCCGGAGTGGAGGAAGTACATATATACTATTTGGAGTTATTTATTCATAGAGAAAGCTTTTTTTTTTTTGAGAGGGGATCTCATTCTGTCACCCAGGCTGGAGTGCAGTGGTGCGATCTCAGCTCACCGTTACCTATGCCTCCCAAGCTTGAGCAATCCTCCTGCCTCAGCCTCCTGAGTAGCTGAGACCACAGGCATGTGCCACCACACCCAGCTAATTTTTGTATTTTTGGTAGAGACAGAATCTTGCCATGTTACCAGGCTAGTCATGATCTCCTGAGCTCAAGCAATCTGCCTGCTCAGCCTCCCAAAGTGCTGGGATTACAGGCATGGGCCACCGTGCTTGGCAGAGGAAGCTTTTTTTTTTTTTTTTTAAATAGGGGAAATAACAGTATATTTGTATTTTGCTGGAAGTGATCCAAAAGGGAACAAAACACTTGTGAGAGTTTCTTTGGTTTATTCAGTAAGTGTTGAAAATATTTTCATACCAGGACTTTTCTCCTTTACAAAAACCTTAATAATATACTTTATTTAGCACAATATATGCAAAATATTATGATTTCAAAATATGATCAATATAAAAATATCAGTTAGATATTTGAAATTCTTATTTTATGTGAATTCTTGTAGATCTGTCTTGTATTTTATGCTTACAGCTTATTGCAGTGAACTAGCCACATTTCAAGTTCTCAATGGCCATATGACTCAGGCTACCATATTGGAGAGCACAGCTCTAGACCTTTTTGAAACCAGTGCAGGGCAGGCCGGGATCTTGGTGAGTGTGCACTTCATTCTCCAGTCTCCAGTCTCTCAACTCTACCATCTTTGTTGTATTTCTGTGACCGCAATTCCTGAAAGTTCATATTGAGGAAGCATCTTGATAGTGACATTTTGTTTTTTCGTTTTGTTTTGTTTTGTAGTTAAAACAATATTTTTACTTTATTTTTCTCTATTTTATTTTTTAATTTTTTAAAAATTTGTGAGTGCCTAGATGTATATATTTATGGGGTATGTGAGATGCTGAGATACTGGCATGCAATGTGAAATAAGCACATCCTGGAGAAAGGGGTATCCATCCCCTCAAGCATTTCTCCTTTGAATGACAAACAATCCAGTTATACTCTAAGTTATTTCAAAATGTGCAATTAACTTATTATTGACTACAGTCACCCTGCTGTGCTATCAAATAGTAGGTCTTATTCATTCTTTCTATTTTTTTGGTACCCATTCACCATCCCCACCTCCCCTCCGATATCTAAATTCTGAAGTGCTGTTTTTGGATACTGATAAAGCTGAGAGCTAGCTACCTAAGTACCTTGAATTGTGATAACAATTCTTCTCCCTTTCCCAGCACAGTGATTTCATAGTCATGTTTTCTTTCTGTGTTTTCTTCATAGTGCCTTTCACGCTGCTCCCTGATCCTCCTCTGTTCTTACCTTTGTACTTTTAAAAATTGAACTTCTCATTATGAGATAATTATAGATTCACAAGCAATTGTAAGAAATAATATAGAGAGACCTCAAGTCTCTTTACCCATTTTCCTCTAATGGTAACATCTTGTAAAATCTTATTTTCTCTCTTTTTAAAATAAAGATATTTGGCTGCTTTGTGAAGGCAAAGTGGGAGCAGAGAGACTGCTGGGAGGTGACTGTGACTGGGTAGAGATTTGGACCAGGAGAGAGCGAGAGAAGATGCTGGACCATGCTGCCATTCTGGAGGAGAGGCGGAGGTGAGCTGTAGCCACATGACCCTCACAGGAAACACTGATGTTTAACTCCAAAAAGAACCTTCTTCACCAAGGCCAAGTCAAAAGCACAGTCTGTGTAACAGTCAGTTTCCAGCAGGAAAGAGGGGGTACAATGTGTTTACAGTTTAGGGGAGGAAAAACAATTTGCCCTTTACCTTTCTGAGTTCTTAGCTGGGACCCCTGCTAGCATTTGCAACAAAAGACAGATTAACAAGAGAAAAACAAGATTGTATTAACATGTATATATTACATGTGCATGGGAGACAGTCAGGGAATGAGTAATTCTCAAAGAGGTGATTTAGAATTCCAGCTTATATAGTATCTCTGACAAAAGACAATGCATTTTTAGAGAAGTGATAAGACAAAAAGGACCTTGAGTCTCTAAGGGATCGCAAATTGTAGGAAGGCAAATATACAAGAAACTAATGGTAGATAAAGACTGGTTAGAAAAATTTGTTAGGAAGATTCCTCTGGTCTAATAAGGCCCTGAAGACATCTTCATTAATCGACCTTTGTCCTTCCCAATAGGAAGGGGAAGAGGGACACCTTTGTCCTGCTTTAGGCAAATAGAGGCAAACAGAAAGCTTTTCTTATATCTACTTCTTCTCAGCTGCTTTCAGCTCAAAATAATCCTCATGCCAAATGGCATATTTGGTGTGGAAGAGCCTGCTACCTTTCAACAGAACCAGAGTTTAATGAAGGGACAATTTACAGAGGTGTGGGCAGCATTAGGGACATCCAGGAGAGATGATGAGGCACCTAGAGACTAGCACACTGGGAACTGTCACTGTCCCTAACCCTGAAGGAAGGAGGGAGAGAGGTGGCATTACAGGGCCCAGGGAAAGTTGGAGTAGAGGTTGAGGAACTACCCGATAGAAGCAGTGGTGGTAGGTAGAGGAATATAACCACTGCCAAAATTACACCCAGCAGCGGGAGAGGAATCAATTTTCTGACCTTTCTCCTCTCCCATCATCTGATTACCTGATGGTGCAAGGAAACGGGCCATGAAATCTGCCACGGTTGGCCTTCTTAGCATAGACCAGGACAGAGGAGAGAGAGGATGGATCTGGAGAGGTGAATGGAGAATAACAGAATACAATTTCAAAAACTCTACAGTGGGGGATCTTTAGAAGCAGTTCCTTTATCTGTACAGGGCACATTCTTTTTTTTTTTTTTTTGAGATGGAGTCTTGCTCTATCTCCCAGGCTGGAGTGCAGTGGCATGATCTTGGCTCATTGCAACTTCCAACTCCTGGGATCCAGCGATTCTCCTACTTCAGCCTCCCGAGTAGCTGGGATTACAGGTACGTGCCACAACACCCAGCTGATTTTTGTATTTTTAGTAGAGACTGGCTTTCACCATGTCGGCCAGGCTGGTCTTGAACTCCTGACCTCGTGATCCACCCGCCTTGGCCTCCCTGTACAGGACACATTCTAGATGTGCAGTGATTCCATTTTAATGTAAGTGCTTCTCTCTTAGTCTGATTTTCAGCAACTCTTTCCAAGATTATTTACAGGCTTGATCTATAAGCATCTAGGAAACACTGTGGACCCTGGCTTCACCTGGGGGTGGAGCAAGGGCCTGAGAGGAGGGCTGCATGACGCTTTGAGGGATAGGGGATCCTGGACACTGGGATGTGTGGCCTCTCCAGGGATTTTCGAGCCCATGAAAATGTCAGAGAATCCACCATAACAAGAGGCCATTGGGAGCTTGGCCAAGGGTATCATGCGATTGGATATCTCAAGGTTGCTTGTGACAAACATGAAACTGGAGGTCCAAGACCCTCTGCGCCTTTTCTGGCACCACTAGGTATCCAGGGTTCTGATGGGTCTCTGAGGGTGGGGGTGGGAGGTAACTAGCACTGATTTCGGTGGCTTTTCCTACCACTTCCGTGGGATATGTGTGTGTGGTGGGGTGGAATTTGGGCTTGAATTCGTTTCTGATCCATAAATTGGGGATAATAATATTACTTCCTTCACATGATTATTCGGAAGATTGAGATGATCATATAAGTAAATAATCTAGCAGTCTGGCATGTAGGAAGTGCTCAACATATGTTAGCTATTAGTAGCAGTTGTAGCTTTTCCTCCTATCTACTGACCGGAAGGTACTGTTTCTGTTTTTCATACGACACATTGCAAAGTGACTTTGAACATATGATTCTTAATTTCATTTCTTGCAAGTGTGAAATGAGCTGACAGAAGATACCAACATGGAGAGCTTCACCCCCACGGCCCACAGCAGACACATCACAGAGTTACCAGGAATTCCAGAAAGGAAGTCAAGTGATGAAAGACTAAAGGACAGGAAGCCTGGGAGGACTGCTCCTAAGGGAAGCTGGGTGGAAAGTTCTCACGGAGTCCAGCCCTGTTCCGCCTGCTCTGTCCCGGGGGTCTCTCGTACCCTGTCCCTCCGCGAATTGAGGAGTGGTCCTAATTGCCAGTTGCCTTAAAGAGTTTGGGAAAACTGAAGACTGGGGTCCTTTATAGGCAGGTTCTGGATCAAGAGGGGTGGGGAGAGGCCCTGGATTTGGATTCCTGAAATCCACAGACAACCCTGCCCTTACACTACTTTATTTTAAAGGTTTTGTTTTGTTTTAAATTACAAAAGTAAAACAAGCATGCTGAAAAATAGCATAAACATATACAGTGCATAGGCCGGGCTCAGTGGCTCATGCCTGTAATCTCAGCACTTTGGGAGGCCGAGGCAGGTGGATCATGAGGTTAGGAATTCAAGACCAACCTGGCCAAGATGGTCAAACCCTGTCTCTACCCAAAATACGAAAATTAGCCAGACATGGTGGCAGGCACCTGTAATCCCAGGTACTCAGGAGGCTGAGGCAGGAGAATTGCTTGAACCCAGGGGGCGGAGGCTGCAGTGAGCCAAGATCGTGCCACTGCACTGCACTCCAGCCTGGGCGACAGAGTGATACTCCATCTCAGAAACAAATGAAACAAACAAACAAACAAACAAACAAAAACATATACAGTGCATAAAGAAAAAGGCAGAAGTCCTTCTCCAGGTGGCCTCCCTGCCCAAGTCTGCTCCTCAAGGTGGGCCCTGCAGCTGCTGGAATCTCCTGTGCTGAGGAGCCCTCCATGCTGCCTCCCTCCAGGCCTTTAATCCAGTCTTGAGGTGCCTGAATCTCTGTTTTTTACACCTGCACACCCTCTAGTGGGGGTGCTTTGCAAACTCAATGTGAGGACAAGAAGACGGAGTGGCAGGTGGCAGGTGTGGCCTAAGGCACCCTCCCATCAGGCCCCCCGCCCTTGGAAATTAGGATCTTCAATTTTGATCCTGATCAAGTCCCACTAAAACTTGGCTACTAGTTTGGTTTTCCAATCCCAGGGCCAAAAGAAAACTGGGAGCAATGCTACCTACTACCAAAAGAAAAAAGATCAAATTTGTTAGAACAGTGACCCTAACTAGTCAAAGGCAGTGCTTTCACCTAGAGGTAATAATAATAACCACTTCTGGGAGCCCTTACTGAAGGCCAGACTTTGCTTTAAGGATGAGGACTGCTAATATGTTTCTTTTCTAGATGAGGACGCTGGTGCTCAGGGCGGTTCACTGCAGGAGGCAGGAAAGTGCAGTGGTGAAGAGGTCAGGCTCTGTGGTCTGACCACCTGGTCAGCCATCCTGGTTCTGCTGCTTATTAGCTGTGTGACCTCAGGCTTACATCATGGAGTCTCCCATGACTTGGTTTCCCCTCTAGTAAAACAGGGATGATGACAGTGTCTCCCTCCAAGGGTGGTGGTGATTAAATGAGTTAGTATGTGGCTGGGCATTGTGGCTCATGCCTCTAATTGCAGCACTTTGGGAGGCTGCAGGAGGAGGATCATTTGAGCCAAGAGTTTCTGGTTACTGTGAGCTATGATCACACCACTGTGCTCCAGCTTGGATGACAGAGTGAGACGCTGTCTCAAAAAAAAAAAAAAAAAAAAAAAAAAAAAAAGTATGTGTAGTCCTGGCACAGAGAAGATGCTCAATAAATATGAGAATGGGATTAAATAATGGGCCTAAATCTCAGCTAGTGGCTGATGGAGGAGGCATCTGAACCTGGGTGTGATATGGCTGAGGGTCAAAGGCTTACCTGCTATGTAGTGCTGTCTCCCTAGAGCCCGCCAGGTCTCAACTCCTCTCCCACCTTCAAGGCCTAGATCCTTGGGAGTCCCAGCTCTCACTGATGTGAGGATGACACGGGTCTCCTCGGAAGAACCAATGATTCCTGGTGAGTCGTGGGAGGCAGAGAAGATTATTGGACATTTGGCAGAAGAGGGTCAGCCCTGGGCCTTTCTCCTCAGAGGAAAACCTGTAAGTCCCCTGCCCTGATCAGTGCTTGGCAGGGAGGATGGGGTATTCCCTATCTCTCTAGGGATATCCTAAACTCAAGGACCCTCATTATGATACATGATCTAATGGAAGCACAGGGGAAGTGTGGCTGCCTCCTAAGGGTGGAAATAGCAGTGAGGGAGGCCGTCAAACATGATTTGCTGGAGTGGTGATGTCCAACCTGAGTCTTCAAGGACGGGGGGAAGTTATGAAGGGAGGGGAAGGACATTCTGGGCAGAGGGCACAATTTGAGCAGAGAGGCTAGACAAGGCATCTGAGAAGGATCATGTCTGAAGAAAGAAGAAGCAAAAGATGAGGTGGGCAACAGTGGTCAGAATTTGGAAACCTTTGTGTAATCTGCTGAAGTGCTTGGACTCTTTTTGATTGAAAATAGGGAGCCAATGAAGAGTTATAGAGGAAGTAACAATGGTAAAGTTTTGTCAGGTGTACGTAGGATTGTAGGATTATTGTATGGTTATCCCATTTTACAATCCTACGTAGGATTGTAGGATTATTGTATAATCATATATTATTGTACATTATATATATAATCATACAATAACCCTATATAGGGTTGTAGAATTATTGTATGATTAAGTGAGATGATACATACAAAGTTCTTAGAATGGCACCTAAAAAATGCTCAGTAAGGCCGGGCGCGGAGGCTCACCCCTGTAATCCCAGCTCTTTGGGAGGCCGAGGCGGGTGGATCACGAGGTCAGGAGATCGAGACCATCTTGGCTAATGTGGTGAAATCCCATCTCTACTAAAAATACAAAAAATTAGCCAGGCGAGGTGGCAGGCGCCTGTAGTCCCAGCTGCTCTGGAGGCTGAGGCAGGAGAATGGTGTGAACCCGGGAGGTGGAGCTTGCAGTGAGCTGAGATCGCGCCACTGCACTCCAGCCTGGGTGACAGAGTGAGACTCCGTCTCAACAACAGCAACAACAAAATATGCTCAGTAAATGTTAATGATGTTGATGCTGATGACTGTAATGTCCTATTAGGAAGAGAAATCACAAAGTTAGAGGCCACCAAGGCAGTCCATACAGTAAGGAAGGCGTGGCCAGGTGAACAGAGGCCAAGACCAGTCTTACATAGAAGTCCAGGACTTGTCTGCCTGCTGGAGTAAAACCCAAGCTTCTTGGTCTGGCTCAAAAGCACTAGGTGACCTGGCCCCTTCTCATACATTAAGCTCCAGCTACATTATTTTCTTTCTGGTCTTCAAACATGTCCAAACTGGTCCTGTGCCCTTACTGTTCCCTCTGTCTAGACTGCCTGTCCCTCACATTTTTGAATGGCTGCCACTTACTTGTCACAAAGTTCTTGGTTCAAATGTTACTTCCTCTAAGAGACCTTCTTGAGCCCTAGAACATCAGCCTTCTCACCAGATGAAATGATCTTACTTATTTTCATGTTTAGTGCCTGTTGCTTCCTATCCTCTAGAGCATGTAAACTCCATAAGAGTATGAATTATATCTTTCTTGTTCACTGCTGTATCCCTAGGTCCTTGAACACCATCTAGAACATGGATACCCTCCATAAATGTTTATCAGGAAAAAATAAAGGATCTGAAATGATGTCTATTAGAGAGTCATTCCTTTCAATTCCTGGGAGAGGTAGCTGATCAAGTTGTGATCAGCTAGTAACACAGCTGAGTGGATTCAGTGAAATGATGATTTTGTGTAGGTAGAATCTGGGGACTAAAGAGAAGGGACATCCCAAAACGAAGTAAGTTCCAATGACCCAGGGTAATTTCCATGGCAGGGCAGGTCAGGGAGCTGCTATAGGACTTGGGGTGTAGACAGGTGACAGAAGGGTAGGGGTGGAGATGGGGTAGAAAGAGGCTGGGTCTCAGAAGCATGGTCCATCAGAGGGGGACTGCAGGGCCACTGGCTCAGGTCTTACATTCCATCAAGATCTTTAAATTTAGGCTGGGAGTAGTGGCTTACACCTATAATTCTAGCACTTTGGGAGGCTGAAACTGGAGGATCACTTGAGGCCACGAGTTCCAGGTTACAGTGAGCTGTGACAGCACCACTGCACTCCAGCCTGAGTGACAGCGTGAGACCCTGTCTCTAAATAAAATAAAATAAAAATCAATTTTAAAAAGATTACCAATCTTAGTCTTTTAACATTAGTATTTTGATATTATCTGCAAAAGAGGTTACAAATAGTCACAGACACACCAATAGGCTTGAAAAAAAAAATGCTCATTCATATAACTGTAATTACAAAATGCAAGTATCAAGACTATTCCAGAACTCACCTTTCTTTTTTTTGCTTTGAGATGGAGTCTCGCTCTGTCACCTAGGCTGGAGTGCAGTGGCATGATCTCGGCTCACTGCAACTTCTGCCTCCCGGGTTCAAGCGATTCTCCTGACTCAGCCTCCGAAGTAGCTGGGACTACAGGTGCCCACGACCACACCCAGCACATTTTTGTATTTTTAGTAGAGTCGGGGTTGCACCATGCTGGCCAGGCTGGTCTTGAACTCCTGACCTCAAGAGATCCACTCGCCTCGGTCTCCCAAAGTGCTAGGATTACAGGCGTGAACTACCGCCCTCGGCCCAGAACTCATCTTTCAAGACCTGCCTGCAGCATCTGACACAGTTGTTTTCCTCCTCCTGGCCACCCTCTCTTTGAGCTTCCAGGACACTATACTCTCCTGATTGTACTTCTTTGCTGGCTACTCCAAGTCTCCTCTAGCGGTCATTGCTCATCTCATCATCCACCCCAGACTGTCCATTTCCAGAAGGCAGCAGAGTGAGCCCTGGTCCTCACCTGAAGTTCCTCTGCAGGAACACCCTCCCTCGAGGCTGGCTTCCTCACTTTCTAATAGTCCTTGCCTGAATGTCATTTTCTCAGAGAGGTCTCTTTCCTACCACCCTACTTAACATTGCATTCCCTCTAACCCTCTCTCCCCTTTTCCTTCCCTTAATTTC